TTTAGGGTTTCAGGTTGAGGGTTCAGGGTTTAGGGTTTCGGGCTTAGGGTTTCGGGTTTAGAACTTCGGGACTGGGGTAGAAACCGAAGAAGCCCCAGTTTTGTCCAGTTTAAGTGGTGGCGACAATATGTAGAAGCAGAAGACGACCGTTGCATGGAGGTTTCGAAGGTGCCCAGGTCGGGTTCAGGGCTGGGGCAAGAGAATCACTTGGGCCACTTTTGGCACAGCACATGCTCCCAAGCTGCGGAATGCCCTCCCTCTTCGCTGTGCTTCGAGTTTCGTCGTTCCATCTCTGACATTTCGAGAGCCAGCGGGTTTTTGAAAGAATTCAGACAGCCGAGTCTTACTTCAGCGCTACGGGTCTGTGCTCAACGGGTTAGGACAGAGACTGCGCGATCCGCCTGAATCACAAGACCTTGAGATCCCAAGCTGGGTGCCCCTAAAGCCCTGAACCCTGAAGCCCTGATCCCCAAAGGCCCTAAACTCCTAAACCCTAAAGGCCCCCCAACCCCCCTAAACCCTGAACGCTAGAGCCCTGATCCCCAAAGGCCCTAAACCCCTAAACCCTAAAGGCCCTAACCCCCCTAAACCCTGAACCCTAAAGCCCTGATCCCTTAAGTCACAGGTCCATCCCGGGGCTTTCCGACAACGGACTCCTTACGCGGGAGAGGCCGCGAGTGGCGGCCGTCTTGGGGAACGTGCGGAAGGCTCGCGGGTTGGAGGGAAGACAGCATCGGCTCGGGTTATATCGGGGCCGACTTGGAACAGGGTTTTGGGGCCTAGTCTACTAGAATTGTGATCAGGAGCCCCCCAAAATTATGGTAGTTGTAATTAAACCCTAAACCCTAAACCCCAAACCTTAATTTGAGGAGATTCGGCTTTGAGAGTTTTGGTTGTTTTCGAAGGTTGAGGATCCGAGGGGAGACTCCAAATTCTCAGTTCGAAAAAGAGCTGGAGAGCCAAAGCCTTTCAGCTCTTGAGGGTTTAGGGTTTAGGGTTTAGGATTTAGGGTTGAGGCTCTAGAGTTATCATAAGGGACCCCCAGAATAGGGCAATTAGTTATTTAGGCCCCTATATTGTGGGCTGTTTCTAGTTATAATATGGAACCCCCAGAATAGTATAGGTAGTTATTTGGGCCCCTATATTATGGGCTTTTAGGGCTTAGGCTCTGCATGGGAACATGTAGCTTTGCTGTTTTTGAAGGGTCTAAGACTGTAGAGCCCCGGAGAGCCAGGAGACAGAGTTCGGAGACGTGGCGGACGACGACGAAGACTTCGGCGGCAGCTGCCTCGCGGAGGGAGATTCGGTGATTGAGTGTATTGCTTGGGGCTTTCGGGTTTTACTCAGGTCTTGGCATGTTTGCTTTAAACGGTTCTGGGGGTGGAGCTCAGCATCTGGGAAGTAAATCGGCTGCGTAGGCAGAGTCGGGTCTGGGTCTGCGGTTGGAGACATCTTGAGACCCATAACCTTCCCAAAAATCCGAGCCTCTGATGCTCAGTTGATGATGACATCCCCTCCTGTGATTGGAAGTTCAACGAAACGCCGGGGCCCCTGGCCAAAGGCAAAGGCCTCGGACTCACAAGGGTTCTTGGGCAGGTCCGGGTTTCAGGGACTTTGCTTTTTGCTTCGGTGTTGGCTTTGATGCAGTGAAATCCTGGCGCTTCATGACGGAAAAAGTTTCGGAAGTTTCGAGATCTTGGCAGACTCGCAGCGGTCGTCGCTGCCCTGCCCACAGGCCAGGCACGCAATTGGAGCTCTCATCCTCCTGACATACCAGCTTGCACTCGCCATCCGTAGATCCCTCAGATGCCGCAGTCCCCAGAACCCGAAGGTTCTGCCCCAAAACCCGAGCACTTGGACCTCCCATGTGTTGAAATTCCCAAGACTGACGTTCGCGGCCTCGGTGAACGACATCATGGCTGGGCAAACGGCGCACTGGCCTGCATGCTTGCGCTAAGATTTCGGGTTCGAGTTTCTGGTTCAGGTATTTGGGGCTCCGGGCTTGCGTGTTCAGGGACGTGAGTTTCAGGGGTCTGGGTCTGGGTTTTTGAGTTTTGGGCTTCGCAGTTTAGCGTTCGAGGCTGAGCACACGGGCCAGGTTCTAGCTGAAGTTGTCTGGCCAATGTTCGCCTGCACGCAATATGGAGAAATCATTGACCGCTGGATTCCTTACAGCTGCTGCCGTAGCATCTGCCCACCCTCCCGATCTTGCTCCAATTCTTGCAATCACTATATGCAAAAGCCGGGGAGCGATTTCAGCGTTCAGACACAGCCGGCTACTTGGCAAAGGCAGTTGTGTCACGGTTGGGCTTAGGGTTTAGGGTTTAGGGTTTAGGGTTTAGGGTTTGGGGTTTAGGGTTTAGGGTTTAGGGTTTAGGGTTTAGGGTTCTCAAACCGCACATCTTCCCCCACACCCTGACGAGCCCCGGGCTCCCCTTAGCCAAAGAACAAGACAATTCCAACTTGAAGCTAGATCTCGGAGGAGGGGTTTAGGGTTTAGGGTTTAGGGTTTAGGGTTTAGGGTTTAGGGTTTAGGGTTTCACGCAGGCTTGTTTCCTCTGACATCGTTGTGGTAAGCATACGGATGCAGTTGTCGATGATGAGTGTGATGCTGACTAGTTCTGTGCAGCCCCTGCTTTCGTCCACTCTGGCATCAAGGCGCATTGCAAGGCCCCACGACCCAAACGAGAGAAGATCAATTTAGCAGCTCCAGGTCCAGCTGTGGCTCCACACCAAGAGCGATGTCTACCTCGGCCCCTTCCAAATGAACCTTGCCAGGCGCGAAAAAGCTCCAAACCCCACAAGCAGAAGCGTTGCGAGTAGGTTCCAAGTAAAGTGCCAGAGTGTAGTGTACCCCAGGTAGGAGTAGTACTTAAAGGATCATGGGACTTGGTAAGTAGGTTTAGAACTAAGGTAACTATATTTATATTT